ATAAGATGATTTCATGTAGTCAAGAATCAGGACATACTAGGAAAAATATCTTTTTGAGTGTATTCATATGGGAAAAATGATTGACTTTTCAAATTTAAATTGTCTTTGCTTTTCAGGGTAAAGATAGGATTTGTACAAAATTTACTTGAGACTTGAAATGAATAGGAAGACATCTCATGGTTTAATAGTGCAAATAAAAGACAAAATTTGAGTGTTGAGATCAGACATCTGTACATGTGGCTTTGAGAAATGTGAATGCTAGGGAAATGTGAAAATACTTTAAATTTGTCTTAGCTTTGTAAGTAACTTCTTAATCTGCTAGCATGAGTTAAGCACATATGGGACAGCTTATACCTCCTACTCAGAGCTCTCGGGGACAGCTCACCTGTCACCTCCACTTGTCCCTATGTTTCCTGTGTGTAGTGCTGGCAGACAGTATACAGGAGAGTTCCACTAATCTTGCACTATCCCAGTTAAAGTAATCAGTACCTACCACGATTTCTTTGTACCTGTGGAGCACTGCTGAGACATAATAGCTCCAATAGTCAGATGTCTTTCTTAAGAATACACGTCTCAAAATTCTTTTCTACTGACATGATGTTCTTTAAGAACTTCACATCAGATCTCAATATTTTTTATCCAAAGGTTGACAGCATTCTGTAAAATATGTAGTAAAACGCAATGAGGAGAGAAACTTTTTTTTTTTTTCAATACTGGATAATTTATTTATGGTAGACAATTTTCTGTACTGTCAGAGTATTCAGCATTTTTAGATTTGTTGCAGAAGAAGCACAGGCTTTGTGTAGCTTTGGACTAATGCTCTAGATGAATGTTAAAACACAACATCCTCAAAAGATTGTCTACACGTGGCTTAGTCCACGTGGCTTGAAGGCTGCTTTAAGAAACTATTGTGCCATGACTAGTGCAGAAAGACCTGACACTTTCCAATAGTAAGCACTATGAAGGTGATAAAACCAACTTAACTTATGGTTCTTTCCATTATTATGATTTTTTAAATATTGTTCCTCTGTAGGAAGAGCTTCAATACCATTTATTGGTTACAGCATAACTCATGGGGTAAGGATGACTTGGGTTATTTTTCTTGGTCTTCACATAATTTCATTCTATGTGTCTAAGTAACTTAATCTGTCCCTGTCTCTTACTTTGGTCCCTGATGTGCAAACTTGAGATAGTAAAAATTCATTATACCATCAAGTTCTTGTGAGGAAGACTCCATTGCTGTGGTGACATTTTATGATATGGTGACAAGTGCTGTAGGAATGCCTGTGTTTTCTATGGCTGTGATACACTTGTAGCATTTCCCTATTCACCACCATACAATTTAATTATATTCTTTTTCTACTCCTTCTACTTTTATACGTATCATAAATCTGTCTGGAAATAGACATCATCTTTCTTATGGCATTTGTAGTGAGAATCCTGCTCCATCCTAGTGGTGAAAGGATACTTCAAGAGTTGAAATGTGGGCAGGCGTGAGCTCTATCTCTGTCCCATGTCTTCAGACATGCCCATACTTGAGGATTTCCTTTGAACATCAGTGCAACTTAATTTTTTCGTATGTTTCAATAGAGATTCCAGTGCTTTCTGGCAATTAGTCTCAGTTTCAAGATGTAGTTATCAAGGTGCTAAAGAGTTTTAAAACCTCTAGTAAATGTCACAAAATAGTTATTTTTGCAAAAAGAAACACTTGTTTCTCTCTGTTTCACCATATAGTGAGATTTTTTTAGCCCTTCTGTCTAGGACTTGAAGAATATTTATTGCCTTAAAAAGACAAGCACCATTTGGGGGGGTCTTTTGATATTATTTTGCCTATCCATCTGTAAATAGTTTGCTATCGTGTAAGTAATTGTGCATGTAAATAGGTAGACTCCAATGTTATGTATTTATAATCAAATTCAGAAATCAAAATGCAAATAATTTTATTTTAAATATGAAAGAATTATTTTAAGAAACTTAATCCATATCCATATGTATGTGTTTTCAGGAAATAAATTATGCTTTTCACAATGTAGTAGTAGTTGTTAATTCATAGGAATTCTGCATTGCTGCATTACAGCTGTATGTTTTCTAACAGAAGCAGAACTATCTTTCTTATATTTGCAACTTCAAAATGTAGGTCATTGTGTTGGCGAATGTAGGTCAGAGTGAGGAGGAAGAAGACAGAATGCAAACTCCTCCACAAGGATCTTTAAGCTTATCCCTATTTTGAAGGTAAAGAAGCTTACCTACCTGTTCAGGCACGTGAAACTTTTCCTTTCACTAAAATTAACACTGGTGTGCTGGCTTCTGGTTTCTTGGCTTAGCTGGGAGCACTGTGTGCTTCCACACTTGTGACTTATTCATGAGAGGCCTCCTGACTCCTGCTTCTTTAGCTTCCAGATGCTTACACCATTGCTGAGGTGATCCTTCCTTCCCCGTGGGGGGGCAGTGGGACGGAGAGCTGTGTGTCTTGCTGGCATCTGCCTAAAGAAGAGCATTGTCTTGGCTAAAGGTGCTTCACCCTGCTCTCAGCACGGAGCTATCTGATACCTCTGCAGTTCCAGCCAGTATCAACATTGTAAAGGTAGCAGGGGAAGGAATGGTGACCCCTCAGAAAAGATTCACTGACACCATTCAAAGTGCCCTCTCAATAATAACTGCAGAAAAGTGAGAGACATTTAACTGAGGGTACTGAAAAGTCGGATGTTGAAGGATGTTTGCTACAATTGACTAGTATTTTTAAAATTCACTCAGGATAGAAGTTTGCTGTAAAAGGGTTTCAGTTTTTTTATGTTTGTGGATGTGTATGTTTTTGTAATGTGAGATATGAGTATTATAAAGGGTGCTAAATTAGCCATGTCTTCACTAAATACTAAAAAAACTTTTATTGCTTGAGTATACACCAGTCACTGCAAACTGCAGCATTCTTTATGTTACACACTAAAATATTTAAACAGTCATTATATTTATTGCAAAATCTGTCATTTTAGCATATTTAAGTGCTCAAAAGCATTGAAGTGCTTAAAGGGAAATGAAAAAACCTGTACAATTCTTCGTGTATGTTTCACTAAAGAATGGACATTCTTGTGTGAGTATTTTATTTTAACTCTTAGCAAGTCTAAGCAAAATAGCACATTCAAAAACACCTGATCAGACTGAACTGTCATAAACAGGACAAATACAAGTATTGCATTAGTATTTTTGTTATACATGTCGTCATTCTGTTTTTCTCCCTTTAAAGATCTTTTTAATACAAAAGTTATATACAAAATCTTGGACAAATCCTGTCTTGGCTTTTGATTGATCTGCATGCAGTCAAGACATTTTTAAATTTTCATTATTTTTCACTAGGAGTAAGGGTAGTTCAGAATACTTACTGGATGAAAAGGACGAATTATATTGATGATGGTTTCAGTCAGCCTTTAAGTGATTTAAAGGATGACAGTTTTTCTCCCAGACTTCTGGTTCTGTTAAACATAGTGATGTTTTCAGCCTTGAGAACAAAACATGGTAAAAATGGTCTAAAGGATACACATACATAGTAAGCTGCATGGAATTCAACTTACTTGTCTAGAAATATCTAAAAGATGCTCTATGTGTCAAATAAGTTTACTGGAAATGTTGAAATGTCTGTAGTTCACGTTTGTGTCTCAATTCTTAATGTCATGTATTGGTGGAGGGGGGAAGTCAACTCTGGATTTTACCTGTGGGCAGACACGTAAACATGGTTTTTAATTGCTAAGCAACTCCAGATGAAAAACACATACAACCATTATCCAGATGCCTTTGATTCTTCCTCCTTTAACTTTGGGAGCCTTTGCAGACACAACTCAAGTTCCTGAGTATAAGTCTGGTTTCCTCAGGCCCCCTCTAGCAATGAAGTCTGGTGCCTGCAGGAGAGCATTCAAGGCACACAGGACCTGTGCTGCCTTCTCCATGGGCCACAGCACTTCTGTTGGACATTCCAGTCAGGTGGGAAACTGGTCTGGCAAAACAGCTAATTTCATGAGAAACTGGTTTGGAAGAAATAAATTTACATGGAAGCCTCCAGGTAGTTGTCAATCTTGATGATGACCAGTGTAAGTTTTATCATGGAAGCTAATTAATTAATAAATAATACAGATTAGGTGAAGAAAGTGTGATTGCTCCTGGATATTTCTGTAGGAGAACTAGGGGAATTCAAATTAAAATGGCAGGGAGCAAGTATAAAGTGAGAGAGGAGGGGTTTCTCTTTGCAGCAGGGTGAAACTGTGGTGCTTCCTGGTGCAGCTCTGGAAAATTTACCACAGAGCAACCAGAAAAATCCTTCAATGCCTGTTAAGAAGAATTTACCACTAGTATTTCCTCTCCTCCTTCTTCTAAATTTCTTGAGCCACAACTAGAAATCACACTTTTATTGCCCTAGTCCTGGATTTGTCCTTAGCATGTGCTGCTGGTCAGTCTCCCTTACAGTCAGACTGATGCCTGACCTAAGACAAACTAAGAGAAAAGGAGCTAAATAAAAAGAAACTGGAAAGAAATTGAATGACTGTAGGAGGATGATGATGATGATGATGATGATGATGATGATGATGATGATGATGATGATGATGATGTAGCTAATGAAAAACTAGAGGGCTCCTGTTGGAAACAGGGAACAGGGAATATTTGGCCTTTCATCTGGCCTGGTACAAACAGGTTGATGTTCATGTGAATGCCCAAGTGAATTAAATTTCATATGACTTTTAAAGTCTTGAGTATTGCATGTATATGTGTAGACATAGGAGTATGTTTATGTGTGTGTGCATGTATCTATAAATTTCTGATCATTAGTTGTGATGAAATCTATGAAATACTCACTTCCTAGGTCTTCTTTCTATTTTTCTTTATTCCATGTTATTAAGGCAAATATAGAAAATAAAACACTGGGTAGAGTTCTGCAAATGGTAATATGCATTCAAATATTATTTTAGACCAGAAAAAAAATCTGTTCTAAGAAGGCAAATATCTTTGTTTTATAGGTCTCTGGCCATCTGAAGAAGTTCTGGCTTACTACTGCCTAAAGCATAATGAAATATTCAGGTACAGAGTTAAACATAAAAAGATATTTTCCAATCTCTTACTTTTATTGTATCTGCATGGTAAAGATTACTATGATTTAAGTCTTCAGATTAAATTTAAAATGTTCAAGGTGAAAGCATGTTGCTCTTAACAAAGAATTCTGAGCTGCCTTTGGGTACTAATATTGCACAGCAAGCTTTCTGCTATATGTCAAAGACTTTTGATTTCCTCTCAAGGCGTTTTATTTCACTTTGATTTTTGGGAAACAAAAGTGAAGCTCCAATCGATCAGTGCTGATTGTGAAGGTCAGAAAAAATAAGATATTCTTTAAACTGACATCTGTTGCAAAAGCAAGCAAAATATTATCTGGTGAAATACATAAAAATCACTGCATATAGTAAGAGGAATTTGCACCTGTTTTTATGTGCTAAGAAACAGTTTTGAAACATCCTTCACTTTTATTCCAAACTTGTAGAAGTCAGCTATCAAAGCTCCAATAGGAACATCTAAATATAAAATCCATCCTGCGTCCACTTTCCTTCCCTCTGACTATACGGAGATTGGCACTTGGAAATCTTTGAAGTTTCATTGTCTAGAGAATAAATAGGGTGCAAAAAAAGCTATTGTAACAATGCATTTGGAGGCATAAATTCTGTTCTGCGTGAGGGTGTAAGGCAAATACCAAGTAAACAAGCTTGGAGTATACAAAATCCCAGTCAGTGTAAATATGGTGTTGAGCAGAATCAGGAAGACCAAACTGTAAGTCCCTGCCCCTTGTACCAAATGAGTAACTTGCTTAGAATCCTGTCTGTAATCAAAGACCTGGCACCAAAGTGTGCCCTGGTCCATAAAGCCTCATTCCTGCTCCATCCATCACCTGAACAAAGTGCAGCCCATTAGGGGAAGCAGCTCATATGCCTGATCTGGCAGCTACAGCTCCTTCCTCCCAGGTTGGTTGTGTGCCTTCTGCTGCTCTAGTGATGTCCCTGTAGCACTTCACTCTCTGGCCCCATGCTCAGATGCTCTACTTCTTCTTCAGGGCTCCTCACAGCAAACCTCATGTGCTGCTCACTCAGAGAGTGTTTTCCTAGTTTGGGTATGCAAGCTGTGATACTCAGAGGCAATGATCAGTCAAACTTCCATGGAGTAAATGGGCAGTTTCGCATCCTGATTTCTCAGGATTATGCCCTTCTGACAGTACTCTCAGAGTAGCGTTTCTTATGTTAATTCTCATTTATAAATGTCACTATATATTGCCTGAGAGACAGATACAACTTTTAAAACTTGCTAGTAAGGGAATTTGCACTGAAATAAATTTTATATGCATAAATTTTTGTGTGTATGTGTATGCTCATTTACTTTGCACAAAGCAATTTAGTTCAAAAGCACTAAAAACCTTACACTGGATACTTTCTGTGTTTATTTCAGTAAGTATGATTCTTATAGAGGAGTAAGTGTCTTGTAAGCCTTATACATAACCACATGTATAAAGTTTTAAAATATAATACATTTGGTTTAGAAAAACTAAAACTTATTTGAGTAAAAACGGATAATCATTCTGTTTAAAAATCCAAATTGCAAATTTCCCCATATTTGTTTTATATTCTTACTGGATTTATGTATGGCTTGTTCCTCCAAGGTATGTCTTTCTTTTGTCTCATTTTGATTACATAGGACAACTAGACATTTTTCAAATAAAATTTGTGGTGTCAAAGAAAAATAAATCTAACCTGTCCAGACAGTGAGCATTATTATACAGTCATACAGCCTAGTCCGCTTGCCTCAGTGAACAAAATATCAGCATCTTTATACTGATACTGATATGGCATCCTAGATACTCTTCCTAAATATCAGTGTTGAGTGAGTAGGGAGGTGACCCTTTCAGATAAAAATATACTTTCAGACGTTAATGTTTTAGGGGAGAAGAAAAGGTGCACCAAAATAAAGCAACCAAAAAAACCCCCAAAACCAGACTCAACCAAACAGTTTTGCTAAAATTCCATTTTCTGCCTGTCAGAAATGCCTCAATGGGAATGCTCCTGCCAGCTGTAACAGTTTCTGCAGATTTTACTATAAAGCAGCATGTTCCTAAGCTGAGGCTCTGCCTGCCCCAGACACTGCTTCACACACAGTTTCAGTGCAGGGTCAGCATCACTCCCTCCTCCCCTCCTGGGGCAGGCCATGGCTCTGGAGGACATTCTTTATGGCTCCCCCTGCAAGCTCCCATCCGGCACACTCTCCGCACCAAATTATATTTCACATGCACGTCTTAATAGCAGCACAGTATGGTCTAAGTTAAAAGCAGCCTTTTAGACCATGTATTCAATCCTTTGATCGGGCTCAGTTTAGGCTCTTGACACTAACTTCGTTTAGTTTTCTGAGGCTTAACCGTTTGCTATTCCCATCGTTGTTCATAACAGCATTGTTTGTAGGTCACTTGCAGTTTTAAGTGCTAATTGAAGGATCAGATTTCTTAGTGTGTAATTATTTTGTGGTATACGGCTTGCTTTTAAACTTCTCTCTTTTTAATATAAAAAGGCTTTTAGGCATAACTGTATGGAGAGATATATAAATAATATTAATTTCCCCATTTACTTCTCTAGCTGTTTTTGCAAGAATGAATGTGGATTAACATTGTTATCCTTTCCTAACAATTATCTTTCGCTACTCTAGCTAGTTTAGTTCTAAAAGACAGAGCCATTGACAAGGGAAAAAAGGGAACCTTCTCAGATTTTTCAGCTCAGCGGTGGTAATGTTGCACTGAACACTAATGAGGGAACCCCCACTGATTTGCCTGCTTTGTGACTTTTCTATTTCATAATTATTTTTAAAACGCAAAACGACATGAGGTAGCCTAGTCATGTCTCTACAACTTCCTGGTAGCTCAGTTCTTACTGCAGATGGCAATTTGTTCTTGTAACATATATGTCTCTCTGACCATTTTCATCTAATTTGTATGGGTTCTACCATTTCCTTTCTCTCTTTCAGGGACCTTGCTGTGTGTGAGCTAGGGGGTGGCATGACATGCTTGGCTGGGCTCATGGTAGGTCTTTTCTCAATTCCAATCCCATTCAGAGGAAGAAACAAAAGGAAAAATGTTCCAGTGCCTCCAACTGCTGGGTCAGAGAACTGTCAACAGCCTCAGCTGCGGTCAAGCTGCAGAGTCTTGAGAGACCTTCTAGATTGACTTGCTTTCGTATCATATTGATTTTATGGTTGCCTCGATGAGCAGAAACATTTTACCTCGGTGTAGTCAATATCTTTTGTTGTGACATTCCAGGCCACGTACGGTCTGTCTTTCATTGCCATAGCCGAAGCTTTTTTTTTTTTCAGATTATAGTCCCATTTGCTAAGATACAGGAATAGCCTGGCGAATCACAGTTGGAGCACCATGATATAGCTGCTAATGTTTTGCCTGCATTATTACACCAACAAACATGATCCAGAGCTCTCGGTAATTAGATTCTTTTGAATTAGATTGGCCATTCAGGAGAGTCGTTCACCATTCTCTGGGTTCTGAGTCATGTATTCAGGAGATATTATGTAGCAGTGCAGTGCATTAGACAAGTTTTTATGTCTCTACAAATAAAAGCATATTGTTACACTGATTGGCATTTGACAAACCTGTCGCTCTTATACAATGTGTCGAGGTTACAGCCCAATGTGCGAGCATGTCAAAGCTCACAAAAAAATTACCCTTACAAAGCCATCTGCCTGCAATGCAAAGTTATATGAAGGGCATCAGGCAGTCAGACAGAAGCAAGCTGAAAGGCAGAGTGACAGCCTTGTATGATGGCTCTACTAGATAAACAGAAGCCCGCAAATGAAAGCCTCTCAGAATACCATCATCGGCTGTCACAATGCAATTACGGAACAGAATGATAGCAAGATAGAGGCTCCCGCAAATGGAATGATAAAAGTATTGACTGATTTGATTGAATGATTAAAATAATGCAGACATAAAATGAAAAAAGATTGAAGATTGTTACAGAGAAATAGGTGAGGAAGCATGATACTGAAGGCTTGTCACTCCTGTCTTCACTTCCACACAGACAAGCATATTTGCTCATTGTTTGCTGTGCTCTTTTTTTCAGGTTGCTATTTCTGCAGATGTCAAAGAAGTTCTGTTAACTGATGGAAATGAAAAGGCCATCAAAAGTATCCTTATTCAGATAGAAAACTGGTTTGTTGTGCTCGTTCCTTTTTACTGGCTGAGTAACAATCGATATAAAGACAGACAGCATGGGGCATATTAAGAAAAAGTCCCTACATAAGTAATTAAAAAACAGATGTGGAATATCTTGAACAGAGCAGAAGCTTCCCCCATAATAAATGCCACATTTTCTCCATTAATTAAAAATGCACATGTTGGTATAGAGCATGTACAGTAGTAAATATTTGCCTGGTGGTTGAGTGCTGGAAGATTCATGTGTGTATGCTGCACATTACAGGAGGTGTAGAAGGGAATCAAATCATTAGCTCCCCTTCATGTATCTGTTTTGCATAAGAGCTAGATTTTTTTTTCCTTACTTTCAGCTACTAGCCCCTTAAAGCATTCTCAGCATTCATATATTTTCAGAGCTTTTCCAGTGTATGTTGAAATGTTTCATTGTTACTGCTAAGTTAGAACTACCTACAAATTACCCATTTAGTCTGCTTTAATCAATTACCAATTTATCATTCTTTCTCTTGATGTAAGATTGCAAAACTCTTCTGTCTCTTGTAGGAAGTATTTTATTGTATTTCTTATATTAGATTAAATTGCTATTATGCCCTTCTAATATGAACAGATAGTTCATAAAATTGAACTGGACTTGGGTTAAGCAAGAGAATGAGTGAGCATAATTTATGGCCACATTAAATATCAGCACAGAACAAGAACAGATATATACAGTGAATACTAATAGCCCTTAGAAATTGAGAGGAAAAAAAGGAAGATATCTATTTGCTTTTATTCCTTGATAATCTTTTCATTTACATTTTCAGGCAGGCTAATTTTTCAGGTTTTGGACACTGCAGCATCAGAATTATTTCTTTTTGATATCTGTATGTATTTGAGAGCTAACATAGTGAGTACTTAGTAAAAGAAATAACTTAAACTAATTTGTGGCTTAAATAAATTGCAGTTGCTGATGCCTATTAATAAAGGACACATTTCAGTGCAATAACATTAGCTATTACCTTTAAAAAAAACTTCCTCAGAGGTAACTGAGGTAACTATAACTGCTGACAACACTTGAACAATTTCATGTTAAAAACAGTTAATCCTAGATCCTATCTGTTAAAACTTGAAGTAAGTCTGCTAAAAGTCTCTTTTTTCTTGAAAAGGCAAGTTCTCACCTGTTTTCCAGGGATTATTATTTTGTTAAATTCTAATGTGTTAGACTAATGTCTTAAGGAGGAAGTATTCATTATTCTTTGTATTTTAATCAGCACCACCCTTCCAATCTTTCTTCCATGTCATAATGAAGATGAAAAATGTAGGGAGAAAAGAAGTGTTTCAAAACTACTCTAACAAAAAAAACTCATGTTGTATAGAAGCATGGGTATTTAACAAAAGGTCATTTTACCCACAAAAACCTTCAGGTGGGCTCAGTAATCATCAACTCAGCAAATGTCTTGCATAGCAGATTCCATAAACATACCCGAACTTTTTTGAAATGTAGAAGTATTTTATAACAAGGAAAATTGGCAAGTGCGAAAATATTCACTCAGTCCTTGGAATTAAACAAATAAAAGCGCATTTATTCCTGAAAAAGATACTGTTAATATTATCTAATTATCACACCTTAGCTTTTCACAATATATTTTAGAAACGTCTTCTGTTCCTAAAAGTCTCACAAGAGGTCTTCATCTGTATTCACTCAGTGAATCCCTTTCAGGGAAGTGATTGGTGGACGGCTCTAACAGGAATTTATTTTTCTTTTTTAACATTTGGTGCTCAGAAGGCTCAGCATTCAAAGTGCTTTTATTGTGTTGGATTTTACAATGGGCTTAATATTAGCAGGGTGCCAAAGTGCAGCAGGCTAAGAACTTTACTGTGTAGGTGAAATGTATTCTTAAAAGTGCACATAATAAAATCTCTGTTTCATTTTATATGGTTTATGGACTTCAGTAGTAATTTTATGATGTGTCTTACGGTAATTTTCTTTTGCACTTTTTTCTATAGTGGCTGGCTATAATAGAAGTTTAGGCTAAATTTAGATCTATCTCAGCCTCACCAGACTCACTGAAATCAGAATAGAGTTTTAGGTGCAATTGGAAGTAGCATTCACCCCACTTGTCACTGGCTACAAATTATGTATTTTTGCTAGTTCTTATTATTGCTGATGGTATTTTCTGATTGTTTAGCATACCAAATTAAAGTAATGTGGGATAAAATACTGCTTTCTAGATTCTGATCTTCAGGAATAGTTAATGTCTAGTATTATGTTTTTTATGTAGGTATTATGGATTAAAATAATCTTGTTTTAAAATTACTGTTTACATCTTCCCTTTAAATTTCTTAGGAAGCTTAAATTACATGCCAGTCATACTATAATATCCAAAAATTACTTTCCAAAAAGTAAAAGTGGTTGTCAACAAAACAGAAAAAATATCCCCATCAGAAGCCAGGAAATCACCAAGCAAGCCTGCTAATTATTCTTAATGGGCAAGATGAGCACATTAAGAAACAAATGAATACATCAGTGAAATGTAATTGAAAATCGACCTGGCAATAGTGCATTGCATCTGAGAATCTGCCTTTGTATTATCAACATCATCATAATTATTGTTGTTTTTGTTGTTGCTATCACTATTCAGTGAGCATAACTAACAGCTTTGCTTGTGAAATCTCAAGCTTTTGAGGATTTGATTTTTCTTTTGATTTTTGACATGCTTCCGATTAGTCTCCATTTCATACTGCCACATGAAGTATTCACTATGTATGTTTTCAATATCTGTATTAGGATATGCTATTAAAATGTTAGAAGTTAGAAAAAAATTACAAATGAATCAATCAAATAGTTGTTGCTATTCTAACCCTCTCATTGTGAAATATATTGCTATATTTTGTATTAATCAATGATCTTCTGTATGATGCTTATGGAGGTTTTTAAAAGGATATTATGGCTTGAGTTGCTAGACCATTTAAAGACTTCACTCTAACTCCTTTTGCTTATCATGAGCAGGTTTTAATTGATTCAATAGATCATTTATATTGCAAAATCAATAAAATAAAGACAGATGTGACTTCTTTTGCCACTTTATTCAGAACTATTGTTAATTTAGTGTGTTTTATCTAAGTTCTTGCAGTATCATTTAAATTAGAAATGTATTAGGATTAAAACTAGAGGCATTTCAACTGAATAATGGAGATATACAGGGGCAAAGTTATCACATTCATCCCCAGTTGTAATTTTGGGTGATATGCATTCAGATAAAAATTTTTCAACTTAGCTTATATCTGTGACATAAGTCAGTCATGAACATCAAATTGTATTTTCTGAAAATACTGGAAGCATCTTTACTCATTTTGGCATTGCCAAATCCAAGGATGAGGTTCATTTTAGTAAAAATTGTCTCCTATTTCAGAGAGGCTGGGTACTTTTTGCCTTAGCTCTGTTTCACACCATACACTGGTGACTTGAACTACTGTCTGAAAGCATCAATAGTACAAAACTTTGTTACAGTGCACTATAATGTCCATTAAAATACAGTGTTTGGATCTTTCAACAGTCCGAGAAAATTTAGGATAGAAGGGTCATGTTTAGCCTGGATGCCCAAAGATATGGGCTCTTAAATTAGTTTAAAATCTAGTGTTAATGTGTTTATAATCATTATTAATAGTTTTGCTCAGTTATATAATTCAAGTGCAGTGTAGCTAATTGATCAACAATGTTATTTCTGCCCCTATTTAAAAGTAGTATGATCTGTTCATGGAGTATTTATGCCTTCCTTTTGCTGCCAGGTGTAGACCATTCATTTACTACTCCTTACTGCATATTGTGGAAAATATTTAAAAAGCCCATCCAAACTACAGAGATTTGTTTAAACCAGTTTTCTGTCATTCCATTTCTAGTTTTTACTTCACAAAATACCAATTGTCTTTTCCAGTGTTTGGATAGAGACTTTCCTGAAATAATTTTTCTTAAATAGCCAACTCCATTAGGAAGGCAAATTATGTGATTTCAGCAAAGCAAAGAAAAAAATATATCAAAGCAAAGGATATATCAGCAATATTTCAAATTAGCCTGACTCGTTATTCAATTTTCTTATAAGAGCACTCTTAAAAGTTCAGACATATTTTGTGGACCTAGAAACATCCTCCTAATTAGCATCAGATTTCCTGTACCTTAAATAAAACAGAAAAAATGTTTTACATCTTTACCAAGAAGTCCATTAAAAATAATTATTTACATTTGAAAGTGAGCCATTCAGAAATTCATGGATTCACACTGAGTAGCAATTAATATTCTCAGAGTTTTCACTTACTTGCTGCACCTTTTCCTTTCCTAGTGAGTGGCTTCTTACTAACTACATATGATTGATCACAACAGTTATTTTTCTAGCCATAGATAACTGGGCCCAGATTCCCCTGAAAGTTTTCCTTGACAGCCCTTGCTTCAACCTGCCTGAATGGCTACCCAAATTTTTGACTCAAATTTCCAAACTACAAGAAGTTGAGACACAAGGCTGAGGTACTGTTGTGGTATCTAAGGCACTTACTGCTTTCCACTCTTTTGAAAATGGACTGGGAACTCCTTTGTCTATAGGTTAAGGTGCTCCGATTGTGTGTTGGATTCACCCAAACAGAGCCAGGAACATAGGTGTCTCTCTTGTAGGTCGGTTCTTAAAACACATAAACCTCCAAAATCTCAGAATTAAGTACAGTGATAACAGTGAAAAGCAGCGTAAACTGGAGTGGACATTTAGTGATTGTAAAAATTTCAGTTCTCCATGCTTGTAATTTTTATATTTGTAAATAGTAACCTTTAAATATCTGATGTATGAGACATTTTTTTCACTTCTCTCTATAGCTACAGGGCTAGAAATTCCTTAAATGAAAGAGTAAATAGAAGGAGGAAAGTAGAGCAAATTGCTGCATATATCTATGGCTGATGTGCTGGAGTAGCAATGTAAAATGTAGGTTTCTGAAAAAAGATTGACTCTTAGCACAGACTAAAGAAGAAGAAACAGATGAGAACATTATGAAGGCATTATAAATAGAAAATAGTTTGGTTTATTATTTTTAGTATTGCTCTACTTTTGTAGATAATTCTTTTGTAGCTATTCTTTGTAGATAATTCTTAACAGTTATACTACAGATGTAAATGAAATCATCACAAGAAACCAAAATGCTGGAGTATTTAAGGCTCAGAAGGTGTCAAGCTGGTAAGATTGTACTAAACTTTTTTACTGATTCTTGCATGTACTTCTGTATTAATATAGATATGAAATGCTTGCAAAAGTGTGACCTGTGTTACTGATGCTTACATAGGCATGTATATGTAAGTAGGTATGTGATGCAAGAGAGAAATTTAAAAGTATTTTTTAAAAATAGCAAATACAGTATGATTAACCTTGGTGACAAACCCTCTCTTTCCTTTTTCTCTTTTTTAAATTTATGCTATATCTCTTCAATCTATGATTTAGTGCATGGTTGAAATTTGTCTGCTTCAAAGTCAACACTACCTGTTGTACTGAAAATGAGATTTGGAATAAATATATCTAAATCTCTGTCAGATTTCATTTTAAATAGCTCTTAAAATTTAGAGTGACAATAAATCCCATTTGCCCTGAGGTATATGTTGGAACATCCATGGGAGGTTTTTTGGTCCTCCTGTCTGTGTGACCATTATTATGTTGTCACTGCAAAGACAGATGGAGAGCATGAGAACCATGAACAGTGTGTTCACCTCTTGCAGTACTTTAAAATTAAATTATAAAGCACATCATATTTGTGGTATAAGGTTAAGAATTAGAAAATGGTTACCTAAGAGCAAATAGTGCACTCTTACTTGTGTATTTAAAATATTTTTTGATGACTCACATTGAAGACAAGCACTCAGTCCTTCTAAAACTGGCAAAAGTAAAGCTGAAAAAGGGCTGAAGAAGACAAAGTGTAAATGCAGAATTAGCTTATTCACATAGAGGGTTAAACCCATATGGTTTGAATGGCTATCATTCACATCATTTAATCCTACGCCTATGTAGCCATTCTACATAGAGAAGTTAGTTTAAGTGAGCACTTAGGGCTAGAAAAATTCTGCCTTTATTAGGGGGTGTGTGCATATAAGTTAGGGATACATCTCTGCATCTTAATAAGAGCCTGCCAGTAGATAGAGGCCATGTGGACCCCAGGAATGGTCTTTCAGGTTCCATGTGCTGAACACCTCTTGTGAGCAGCCTCAGACACTCTGCTGAGGAGAGGCTGTGTGGTATGTCCATCCAGAAGCTTAGATTTTTTTTTTTAGATTTCCAATTGTTCTATACTTCATGTGAGATTTCAGATTTCATCCCTTGTCAAGACTTTAAACCTGGTCTTTTAGATATCAATCAAAAGCACATTTTCTACCCTGTCCTCATTTACATTAAGGTCATTTGTGATCATTTGAGTGTATTTCAGCATATGGAATCAGTGAATAATAGATTTCAGCCTCACGCTGTGAAGAAAGATTGTGTTTTTACAAGACATGATGTTGTTTACTGGGTGTTAATAATCACTAATTAATAAACATATCTAGACGTCATAAAATGTTGCATTTTAAGGAGTAAAAATGTCAAGTGTTTAACTTCTTGAGTGCAATAGTGTTTGAGGCCTTATTTGCATAAATAAAATAATCAAATTATAAAATAATGTGAAACATTATAACACTTGATTTGTAACTCTACCTTCTTAAGGCTTTTGCAGATTTGTTGTAACAGTATAAAGTTTTATAAAATGACTATTCAAATGACTCTCTAATGGATTGATCAGTCTTTTAGATTCAGTAATGATGTGATGTAGTAACAAAGTTATATGATCCCTTCTTAATGCCCTGAGGGAATTAAAAAGCTGATGTAAAATCTGAACTATTACTGTAACCTTGATTCACTTTTCCTGCAGATGAAAACCTTAGTTACATAATGGTTTTGGGGAGGAAAAAAAAGGAGAAAAAAACCCCAAGAAAATGAAGAAAGTGTAGTGCTTTGGATGGAAGAATGCAGCACTGGCATACAAAGTGATATTCAGTGACTTCTTTTACATTGATCAGATTTTGCAGGCAAATGAATATAGTGATGCCTGTAAGTGACTTACTGAGCATCAATCTAATCTGGAGAATGCATCTTCTTTCCTATAATCATTTAGATAGTGTCCAGTCTTGCAACTTCACAGTGGCTGGTGCAAAGTTAAAAGCTTCTCTCTGTATAAAAGATAATTCAGAATAGTCTCTTCTCACAGCACCTTCATCTTATGTCAGGATCTTGCACTCTTTTCCTCGCACAGGAGCAGAAATTATCAGTATGAGAATCAGTTTGAGACTGTTCTGGATATTTAAGTCTATGCCTGGAAAGTATGCCAAAACCTGCATGAAGCAAAAAGGAACAATCTGGTATCAGCCAAGAGAAGTTAGATTAGGACAACCTGCCATAAATTTATTTATTTAGATTTATACAAAATGCAGTAAATGAGTACTTATCTAGCCCTCTGCCAAGTCTTGATTATTGTTTAAAAATACGGTAGTGTAAGCCAAACTGGCAGTTTGTCATATTATGTGTTATAATGCAATAATAGTAAGCAGTTTACTTTGCAGTGGATATACAATTCTATTTTATTTTTATTTTTCATTAATATGCCCAGGATTTCTTGCTTATGTTTACTAGAAATAGGTACAGTAGTACCACCAGGTTACTAGTAATGCCTTGCCATAGTGAAGGGTATTAATACCATGTATGGGTTCAACAATTTAATTTTTTTACAGTTCAGAAATTATCCACGAATTGCACTGTTTACCCTATAACCTAGCACATGTTTCTTTGTACCATCAGCTGTTACTGGTTTGACATGCATTGTATCATTGTTTTAACATGCCCACCAATCATTAAATTAACAAAAAAACAACATGGTCAGGAGATCCCTGCTCCTTGTTTTCTATTTGTTTTAATGGGGAAATCATCATGGAACAGCTGTTTGAGTAGTAGAAGTTTGAAAAGTTGTTGTTATTACAAATGTCATAATGAAAAAGCTTTAGCAAAGAGGAAGGCTTGCAATGCATTCTGCAGGTTAACAGACTCAGTCTGTCCTACAGACTAGGGCATTTGTTCTTCCTTCAGATTCCCTGACTGAGAACATGGGAATCTGTAAAGAACAGAAGTTGTGTTCTAATTGTGGATATGGGACCTGTGGGATTTTAGCTGTGGGTAAGTCTATTGTTTTGCTAAGAGTTGCATCAGAGAGATTCCATTTCACATGAGGATGTAACATCAAGACAGTAACAGAAATGCTTGTGGCAGTGCATCCTTTGGTTTGATTAGTAATAGTGTATTATATACTCTTTATTAATTCCACAGTCAACTGTAGAACCCACATCAAGAATTAATGACCATGTAACTAAGAGAGACAATTCCTTCTGCTTAAAGATTAACAGATAGGTTATCGTTTTATTTGAGATTTTAGTGTTCCTTACCAATGTAATGCAATTACAAGTTTCCAGAACTAAATCCATAATGGAAAAAAAGTCTTTCATAATACTGAATAGCATCCAGCATAACAGTGGATGAGATCTCAATTACATAGCACTGAACTCTATAGTCCTGATTGTGTTCTTGTATTACTTCCCTCTTTATAATTGCAAAGGTGAATATTTTAACTCACTGCAATGTTCTTCAAATATGTCAACTTCATAACCTTCTGATTTCAACTGGTCTTGTAACAGGTTCCATCAATGTGGTTCACACTTTCTCTCTGTTTTCATTCATCAAAATGACCTGAGTGTTGGTAAATTCAAACTTAAAAAAAATATTTTATTGAATTTACTGTGTTTGTCACCTTAGCAACCCTAAAGGAATCCCTTTCTTCCAGCTACTTTTGCATTCTCCTCAAGTAATGCTCTTGATGACAGCAACTGTTGGTCAGGAGGAAACTGCCAAAAGGAACATTTCCCACTCTCTGGTTAAGAAGAAAATGTTTCTGGCTCCTGCTCACTTAATTTGATCACTTCATGTATATGGGGAGATAATGTTTTGTGTGCTCATGTCCATTCTGAAGTTATAGCTCTTCATCACAGAAAACTCAATTCAGGTGGAAAGCATTCCACACCTCTGATCATACTTGCCCTGCTCTGTATCTTTTTAGGTTTCAATCTACTTATTTTTAGATGACTCTGATCAGTACTGCATTCAAAGTGTGCATAAATAAGTATATGTAGTGGAATAATTACACTTTTTGTTCCCCTTCTAAAACTGCTTAATAGTGATTTGCTTTTTTCACTGCAGTTGAGCACAGAGCTAATAGTTTCATGACACTGTCTGTCACAACATCAGGAGCTTTCCAGTGATGGTCATTTTGGAGACCTTCATTTTCTATATCAAGTGATAATTATTTTTTCAGTTGTGCGCTTTGCATTTATCCACACTGAATTTAATTTGTCATTTTATTCTCCGATTACTCATCCTTCTTTTTTATTTTCCTCCTTTCATCCTTCTGCAATCTTTCACAGTCTGGTCTTTTCCTTACTGTCTTGAATGACTTCTTAACATCAGCAAACTTTGCCATCTCGATGCTCATCTCTTGTAAGCATGTTGACTAGAACAGGTCCCAGGGGAACTCTACTGATTATGTCCCTCCACTGTGAGAATTGACCACTTGCTACTACCCTGTTCCCTGTCTTTTGTTCTATTATTTAGCCATGTCAGGACTCTTCTTCAGTGACAGTCTGTTTTCCTAGAATGTTGATAGTGAGGGTCTTTGCCAATAGCTTTTTGGAATCAGAGGCAGGCTGTCTTACCCAGAGCTCCCTTATCTGAATACTTGTTAACACCTTTGAAGGGCTCAAGATTTGTAAAACATTAATTCCTTTTACAGAAGACATATCTAAAAAGACTTCTGTGCTGAAACGTCTTCAGTTTCTTTTACAGTGAACTGAATATTTTACACTGTTGCAAAGAATTAATCTCACCTCTCTGAAATATTCTTATCTTCTGTGAGTGCCCATTCTGTATCCCAATTATGAGCTGGCAGCAAGATTTAGCACAAAAGGAAGAGTTCACTTATTTTTGACCTGCTTGATTTTATTATTATTTTTAGTTTTTCTTCAGTTGGATGAAACTTCAGTTTTTGGAGGAATACTTGAACAATCTTTTATACCATTTAACCATACCAGCTGACTTTCACAAACTTCCAAGCCTCTTCT